TGTGTTGGGAGAGGCTTTCAGAGCTTCAGGTGATGAATTGTAGTAGATCCTTTGACTAGGTGAGGTACCAGAATACCTTTCATCATATCTGATACGGCAGACGTTTGCCTTGTGTCCTAGTTTCCCGCAAACTTGGCAAACTGGTCTATCTCCTCCAGACATGTATGCACCTCTACTTTTACCTCTTCTTCCACTTCTGTGATGATTGAAGTTACTGAATCTTCCACCCATGCTTGGCCTATTAGATCTAAAGTGGCCAAAATCTGACCTCTGGGAGCTGTTTACTGATGTTTGTTCAATGTTCAGTCCTATCATTTCATTCCTGATAGAGTTGAGATGTTCAAGCTTTCATATGTCATCAATGTGGATTGAAGTTCTCCCCAAGATATATGATCCCTGCTGTTCAGTTGAACAACAATTGGTGTGTAGTCTTCATCTAGTCCCGCTAGGACTTGAGTAATTAGATCAGTGTAAGCAATAGTTTTCCCAGCAATTTCTAAGTTATCAGAGAGTTGTTTTACCTTATTCAGGTACTGATCTATGCTCATATTACCTTTCCTGCATTTTTGAAGTTCACCCGTGAGGAAAATTATTCTTGATTTATTTTGGACTCCATAGCTTTCTTCAATGGCAGTCTACAGTCCATTCGAGTTGATTGCACCCATCACTCTCATTGCTATATCTGAAGTCATGGATGAGTAAAGCCATCCCATCAACAGTTGACCTGTTGACATCCATTCGCAAAACTCCGAGCTCTTCACCATTTCTATACTGGTTACAGCTTCTCCATTAATTTGATTACCAATAAATTCTTGAGGACATACCTTTGTCCTAAGTATATAGCCTTCCAGATTGTGGCCTCTGATAATCGAAAGGATCATATTCTTCCACAGCAAATAGTTGTTCTTATTAAGCTTGATAGATACGGTTTGAGTCAAGTTGACCCTAAACAGTGAGAGCTGAGTGTTTCCAAGTGTTGGTGCAGCAGTGTTGCTGGAAAGGGATGCTGGAGCAGCATTTTGAGGCGTGCTGGTGGCGTTGGCCATGAATGCTCTAATACCAAGTAAAAAATACATATCGAAGTGAAGAAGATAATGCTAAAGCTGTAATTAATATTGATTGATCTAATAGTATATATAATACATCATACTGCCAAATGAATAATCTAGAACTCATAGCTGTTAGGTATCTCCTTGAATTATAGATCATGTAGGAATCTTTATAACTGAATAGTGGTCCAGGGACAGTAAGGAGGAACGGCTAGTACAGCAAGGAAAAAGGTAGTTGAGTCATCAATGATATGTACAAAGATAAGGCTGATGTGGAGATAGCTCCATGGTGAACGGAGCTAGCCACCAACTCCTTGATGGATGGAGCTAGCAACACTAGCTCCATGGTGAATGGAGCTAGCCTTTACTCTTAACAAGTGACAAATATTCGATGTGATGCTAGTCTAGGCATAGAAATCCTTTGTAGTACGAGTTGTGACCAGGAAAGATGCAATGTAGATTTTTTTGGTTCAAACTTGTGTGTAATATAATCTCGTAGTTATGGAAAATATAAGCACCCAAAAATGTAAAATATTGTATAAGTAGGAGATTTACCGTACACAATTTCAAAAGGAGAGGCCCCATTCAAGACAAGTGTGGGCAAGTGGTTAATTGTAAACACTACCGTATTGAAGGCTTCGACCTAAAGATTGAGAAGAACATTAGCATGAAAGAGCATTGTGAGGCCTGCCTCAGTAATGTGCCTATGTTTTCTCTTTGTTCGACCATTTTGAGATGGTGTATAGGGGTAAGAAAGCTGGTGATGAATGCCACGTTTAGTTAAATGAGACTGAAAAAATGTACTTGTGAATTCACCTCTTCAATCACTTTGAAATTTTTTATCTTTGTCAAGAACTGATTTTCAACAATTGTTTGAGATCTTACCAAAGTTTGATAAAAATTAGCTTGTGCTTTAATGGATAAAACCAAATAAAACGTGAGTGATCATCGATAAAAATATCATAATATCGATATCCAGATGTTGAAGTTATTAGTGCTAGATCACGTAAGTCACAATGTATGAGTCCTAAGATTGTTTTTGAGCGACTGTCACTTGTTGGAAGTGGAAGCTTATGACTTTTAGCCTTTTGACAACTAACAAACAAAGATGGATTTGGCAATACGAAAGTAAGAGACAGAAGACCCTTCTTATTAAGCATGGAAATTATTTTAGATGGTACATGGCCTAAATGGGCATGCCAAGTGTCAAAGGAATTATATAAATTTTGTTTGCTAATGAAAGTAGAAAAAATATGGTTTCCACGCTTCAATACATAGAGGCCATCTACACGATTACAGTTTGCCACCACCTTTCGAGTTTGAAGATTCTTCATGTTAAAATCATTGTCAGTAAATGAAATAGACAAAGGGAAATCATTTGTAAGTTTACTGATAGATAGCAAATTTTTGGTTAAATGTGACACCACAAGAACATCATTTATGTAATAGGTAGAGAGGATCCATTACCAACAATAACTTTGTCAATACCAGTGTAAGGTTCTACCTTATCAAGTTGAGACACATCGGAGGTCATGTGTGTAGATGCTCACGTATCAGTGTACCAATCTGTAGTGTCATTGCTAATGGTGTAATTTGCAAGAGCTTCAATAGCGTGTGCATTAGATTTTGTTTATCTGTTTTCGCAATCCATGGTGTAATGTCCTTCTTCATGGAATATTTGACAACGAGGAGGACGCTTATAGTGATGCTTGCCACGGTTTCCTCCATTTGATTGGCCTCCCTTATATTTGTTTTGATAATTGTTTGGCTTTGCACTTCGGTTGAAAAATGTAGATGATGAATTAGCCCCATACGCAGAGGCACCACCTGCATTATGATCAATGGACATAGAAAAAAGATCAAAGCTCTTTGCTTTAGGAACAACATCTTTGAAACTTGGGATAGAAGTTAAAGAGAGTTTAGTGGTGGAGAAAGTCTATCACGTCAATACCAATGAACTTTGTCAGTGTTTTCAACTTGGCGTTCCATTACTGATAATTGATCACAATGAGCCTTGAATACTCGAGAATATTTAGAAACATTGCGAGAGCCATGCTTCATAAGATGAAGTTCATCTTTTATTTGAAGTTCTTGAACCTTAGATTTGTGGCTGAAGGCAGTTTCAAGAACATTCCAGACATCTCTTGATGTTTTGAGTCTAATGAAAGTGCTCCCTCCGTGAGAGAGGAAAGAATGAGGCTCGTGACGTATATTGCTTCTCAATCTAGCTAGCACATGATAGTCTGTTTCAATTATTATATTTCATGTATCACGTGCTTTTACCCTTGGTATTTGAGTTATTGATTTAATTAAACAACTTTCAAGAAATGCAAGAGACGGATATTCAATTTGAGTCTGGATAGATTAATTTTTTTTTTAAATCCTTGATTTGTATTGTATAGTTTTGTCACATAATACCAAAGGGGGAGATTGTTAGGTTTTTAGTTATATTGTCAATTCTTTAGACAAAAAGATTATTGTAAAATAATAGAATTGTTACAAAATAGTTTTCAAAGTTAAAGAATCTTTTGGAGGGTTGTATAGATAAATTAGGAGTCATTGGGTTTGAGTATGCAACAAGAAAAAAGAATCGTCGGATTTACGCTAGCATGTCGCCTAACTGATGCTCGAACGTCCAAAGCAGAATCATTGTCACCTACCGGTCGTCCGACTCTTGCTCGCATGCCGCTAGAGCGACTGTGTTTTTCGAGAAACCCTAGTTTACATTTTTCAAGAGTTTTACCTATCCTATACTACCTAAACACCTCCTATTATAAATACACAATGCTCAATACATTTTTGCTGGTGGTTGATCATTGTTTTACATCTTCATAACATCATTCCAGGATCGAACAACACATCCAACAATCTAGATTAACTTTTTGATTCTTGAATCAATCAACCACAAGTTTGGGAAAAACATCAAAATTCATATAATCCAAAACACCCACTTCCTAGATATCATTAGGAAGGTATTTTCTCAATAACTTTTAGAGATTGCTGAAAATTGAAGGGGTTGGACCAGAAACACAAGAAGAGTACAAGAACGAGACTTTCTTTGTGTTCCACGGGAAATAGATAATTTCAAAAGATCGGAACAAGTGTCAGTGAGGTACGTTGCAGGTGGTCTTGGAGATTGCATGAATTAGATTAGCGAGTCTAGTGGGTTTTCTAGGCTGGATCGTTGGATCATACTGTAAGTCCTTATTGTCTACAGTGAAAACTAATGACTTGGTTCCGAAATTTTTACCCAGTTAAGAGTTTTCTCCATCATCAAATATTGTGTATTTACTCCTTTAATTATTTATTACGACAATTCAACATAAGATAATTTGAGTTGATTGATTAAACATTTAAAACGATTAAAAAGTGACTTTTTACTTTTAATTGGTAAATTTAATTACGTGTTATTCATGATTTTAGGTTGAAATAGTAACTTTCATAAACTATCATTTAACATTCATGAATCCGTTTAATTCACAATCAAATGATTAGGAGAAGACAGATGACATTTTCTAATCAATTCTACGGTGGTTCAAGCCATGCCAAGAAAGAAATTTTTAAAGCTATGATTGCATGTATTTTGGTCTCCCTAATGAGTTGTAATGATTTTTGGCCCACACAAGTTGACTTGTTTGGGTTGGTTGCAGAGTATTAGGACAAAGCATTTAAATATAATATAGTATATTCCAAATTAATTAATAAGTTAATCACTGTTTTTTCATATCCTTCCTTCGTTGGGTATAAATATGCGATTGAATTTTCTGCAATACCAAGCGTAGTTTCCCATTTTTCACTACTAGAAGAAAAAATTTATTCTCAATATTCTTTTCCATGAAATAAATAACCAAAAAGAAAAAAGAAAAAGCAGAAAAAATGGAGCCTGTTGGAGCCTTTCTTGATGAAGAATGGGAATCATTGAGCAAAATGTTTTCCAGTGAAGATTCTGATTTCATGCTGAATTTGCACGGCAGTGACTTGTTTTCGAATGAAGGTGAAAACGGGTTGAGCTTCTTGGCTAATTATACTGAAGAAAATGTGGCTGCTGGGGTTGAGGATGCTGTATTCTTTCCCTTGGATACTCTTGACAGTACTACTAACTTTTACTATGTTTCTCAAGAAAGTAGCAATAGCAGTGCTGAAGTTGACAAAGTCTTGTTTCCCAATCAAGAAAATATTATTAATTTCCCAGATCGTGTAATAAGTGACACAACCGATGATCAGTCCACTCGTTTTTCTGATAATCGTAATTTATTAATGATTCCGGATTGTTCTGGAAATCATGTGATGGAAGACCATTTGGGCAGTGGAAATATGGGCTATGTAGAAATGGGTGATTATGTCAAGGAAATGCAGTCCAGGAGGAAGTCTGAAACTCCAGAAGAAAAAATGGAGGAAAATTCATATGAAAGTCCTAAGAAAAAATCTAGGGCTTCTGGAACTGTGAGTAGAATCAGTTCAACCATGTTTAAATTTTCTTGTTATGTTTTTATACTGTATCTAATGGATTATTTAAATCAATGAGTGCAGGCATCAAGGAATAAGAACAAGAAAGTTACTCAAAATAGCAACGAAGAATTAAAAGAGACTAATGGTGGAGGAAGTGGCCCGACTTCCAGTAGTTGCCTCTCTGAGGATGACTGCAATGGCTCTCAAGAACTAAATGAAGGGGAAAAATCAGAATCCAAAGCCTCAGACAGTCTTAAATCAAATGGAAAAGCAAGATCCAGCAAGGGTTCTGCAACCGATCCTCAAAGCCTTTATGCAAGGGTATGTAATAACTTTGACATGATCGGAATAAGGTTGAGAATCAGGGAGTCATTCGAGGGTTTCTGATCTCATATTATCCAATTTTGCAGAAAAGAAGAGAAAGGATTAATGAGAGATTGAGAATCTTGCAGAACATTGTCCCAAATGGAACAAAGGTAAAACATTAACTTATACTAATCAATTCTACCAAATTAATTTTGTGCTAGAATCAAAGTAAAACTTAAAAATTCCACAAAACTAAGTTTTGAAATGGAATGCATCAGGTTGACATTAGCACAATGCTCGAAGAGGCTGTCCATTATGTAAAGTTTTTACAGGTTCAAATTAAGGTATGGCTAAAAATGTATTGCTCATCATCTTCCTCTACTTTATCCAAGATATAGGACATGTTAGTTACTTGGTAAACTCTCAGCACAACTGGACGATAGAAAAAGATTTTAGCTTATTTTTCCTCCTTAATCCATTAACTCCTGAGAGAAATTAATAACCATGTTTAGAATACAAATCTAAATTTATACTTGTTGTTTGCAGTTATTAAGCTCTGATGATCTGTGGATGTATGCTCCTATTGCATACAATGGCAAGAACATTGGCCTTTATTAGAAGATTTCTCCAACTTTATTGCCTCAGAATTGATGCAGCAGCTGCTTAATTAAGTACTTAAATATTAATTTGTAGTTGTCCTGACTTGTAATGAATTAAACCATGATGAGAGAATTTCTCATGTTTTATGTTATAAAGAAACCGAGATCCAGAGCCAGAAGGCTTTGCCTTGTTTAAGATTCGCAAATCTGCTCATGTATTGTATACGTACAAAATGTTAATAGTGCAGCTCATTCAACTTCTATAAAAGCTTTCAAACTGTAAATAAACCTTGGGCCAATTTTTTATATTGATGGCTTGTTCTGCTAGGGACTCTGCATCAGAATTTTTTTAATAAACTTCTATAAATTGATCTCTACAGTCGGCACCTCTAATTATTTGAAAGTATTAATCTATTTCTATAATTCAATACATATCATATTAATATATAGTAGAAATTTTCAAAATATTTAATAAATTAATGCAATATTATACATACCAGTACATGGAAGAGCTGCTGAATTCTTTGTCAGTAGCAGAATAATTAAGCAATAAAACAAATCACAATCTTGCTATTGTGTAATAAAAAGATAGGGTTATCCTCTTAAAATAATAGTTTCATGTTAGTTAAGCTTACTTAATAATTCTTTAAACAATTATAGACTTATAGGTCAAAATACTTGTTATTGGTTACATGGAAGTAAGATTATTTTGTAATAACATTAGTTTCCTGAAATAGTTTGGTGAAAAGATAAAATTTAATAAATCACATTTTGGACATATTATCACATTGCTATCATGGCAAATACCTATATATTTGAAGGATAGTCAAACATGTTGTCTACTTTATAAGGGTAATTAACATAAAATGTCCTTAACTTTAAATATTATTGTGCAAAACGTCATTATCTATCTTTTTTTTTTCGCATTTTCAGCTTTAATTACACCTTTCATTGTGCAAAAAATCATTTCCATCAATTTTCTTCCAATTTTTCATTTAAGTGAAGGGTATTTTCGTTTTTCTTCACCATTTGAACCCATTTTTTCCTCTGTGTAAACCTTTCAAAAATAACTATTTGATTTGTGGATTCAAGCAAGTTTATAATGATTGGAGATAAGAGAAAATGACTGAAATATTTGAATGGATTAATTATGCATTCAAATTTGTTGTTCATGTGATCGCCCAGTCTATGCAACTTGATTCATTTTTCTTTTCCGTGATTCTTTAACATCTCCCAACAAAAGTAACTCGTGTAAAAATTTGAATCTTTCAAACAAAACAAAATGGTTACATACACATATGCGTACATACGTTCATTGGTGTTCAATATTGCAGAAATTTTTAACTTCCGAAGAAATGAAAAATTTGCAGGGCGGTAATTTGACTGTTTCTGCCGAGAAGAAATGGGACAAAATAGATTAAACTCTACTACAATCTCATCAATCAAATGACAGTAAGAATTGAAAAAGAAGTGCAAGATAGTGTGCATGAGGGAAACCTGTTGCAGAACAGAAGAAGGTGAGGGTGGTCAGGGGCGGACGCAGAGTTTTAAAGTTAGGGGGGGCGCAATCGAACTTACAAAAAAAGTTGGGAGAAATTTTACAATCGAAAATTTACGTCCAAAAAAATCATACCTCGTGTAATTTTGCATTCGAAAATTTACATGGGATAACTTTTTCGGATGTAAAATTTCGAAAATTTTTGATATTATATTCCATATAAAATGATGAAAATTACATTGAGAAAAATGTATCGTAAAAATAATAAATGTTAATGAAATAATTGATTTTTTTAAAAATGCGAGTTAGACTTCTTTCTTTAAGACTCATGTTTAACGTATTTTTAACTATTTTCGATATCTGTTTGGACTATTCGATATGCCCATAATGTTGTTTTCGAAATAAGCTTTGAGATGACATAATCAATTTGTATATTCGATTAGCGTACGATCGTCAAAATTTTTTTAAAATTAGCATGTTATCGAAATTCAAATTTATTGTGATTTTGCTCCTGTTTGGTGGAGATTAAAATCAAATCTTTAGTAAATTTTGATAAAAGTTAAAATAGTTATGGATTACATGAAATATGTTATTAAAAATTAATTGTTAACTTTGATTTAGATTAAAATTTAGATTTCAATCGATACACAAAAAAAAACTCAAAAGTTGGGGGGGCGGGGGGTCATCCAATGAGGGTGGTGATGATGACTTGAATCCGCGAATCAAAAAATATGGGTTCGAATGGGAAAGAAAGAGAAAAAAGATTTTACAACGAAAATGAATTTCACTTAAATGGAAATTGATAGGAATGACCCTTTGTGCAATCAAATGAGTAATTAAAGGTAAAAAATGTCAAAAGAATGAAAGGTAAGAACGTTTTGTACGATAATAATTAATGGTATGAACGTTTTGTGCTAATTACCTACTATAATTATTGCATTAAGATTTCAATACTCTACTTTTTAATTATTCAAATCATATTTGATTTGATTAGCTATTGACTATAAAAAAAATGTTAAATAAAATGTGGGAAGAAATCAACAATTTGTTCTTTTCTTTTTCAAAATGGCAAAAGAAAGAGTCGATGACTCAATATAGAGAACATTGTTAGACTGTATAAAAAATTTTACTTTCTAAACTCAAAAATATTTTCTATTATACATAAAATGATACTAAAATAGATGGGGAAGATGTTCGTAATTTAGTTTGAATAGATCAGTTTAATTTTTCATCAACTATATGGTGTCAACAATATAACAACACAGTGATCAAGGAAGCTCATTATTTCAGATGAATACTTTTTGTTTAGAAAGGTTTGGATATAGAATATTTGAACAGACAATACAAAAAACTCTTCATATTAAATTTCCAACCAACCATTGAACATGTTCTTTTTTTTTTGGTTTATGAGCAACCTAGAATAATGTTCTCACACATATTTAAAGCAAGAACAAAACTCTCTGGACCATCCATAATTAGACCCTAAACGAAAAATAATGATAATATTAAACAAAGTCAACTAAATGAAGGAATAAAACTTAAAAATAAAATAGCAGCGTCTTATAGCGTGCGCGACCCATGCCACCATTGGTACTGCGCGTGTGCAAATGCTCAAAGTACGTTTGAGCACGAGTACTAATTATGGTCTCTCAAAGCAGTATTTTATACCTCTTCATTATTTACGTTATTTTATAAATCTGACAGCTTCTTCCTTCCAAAAGAATATACAAAGAAACTGGCCACCCTGACCTGTCTCCTTTATGAAGTCAAATTAGTTATTTAATTGAGCATGCAGGAATTAAGGAGCGACGAAATTAAAAAAGGACATTTTTTATGGCGCGAGATAAAATTCTGTTTGATGAATAAAATTTGTCACAGAAAATTGTAATTAATGGTTTTGGGCTAATGATAGTAATAAGCATTAGACAAAACCTTATATCGAAGAAGACGGTGTTTAGAGAGATGCAGACAAATAGATAACACAAAGAAATAATTCATCTCCTAGAAGAAAATAAGTGAAGCGCCCAATTGTATATGTTGGTAGTAATCTAAAAAAACCAAACAATCACACCTACAAGAACACAAGTAATTTTTCCAGTTATAACTGTTAGACAAGATAAATTTCATCAAACAGAACCTGAAATGTAAAGAATTAATTTCATTAATTCCACATCAGCTCATCTTCTCAACTTCTTCATTTTCTTGCTTGGTATCAGAGCTTCTCTGGCTCATCCCACTCGATCCTTCATGGATTCTTCAAGTGCATCCTCCACTACCTTTGTTATTCCCAACATTACACCTTTCGTCTCTGTCAAACTAAATGAAACCAACAATCTCAACTAGACTACTCAATTTATTCCAGTATTGCGTAGCTATGATCTCCTGAGCATTGTTGATGGCTCAGATATCTGTGCTTCTCAATTTGTTGTTGATGATACTGGGAAAACAACATCTGATCTCAATCCTGCCTATTTATTATGGCAGAAAAAGGATCAATTTATTTTGGCATGGTTGAATGCCACATTATCTGAGAAGGTCCTGTCTACAGTTTATGGACTGACCACCTCTCACCAAGTCTGGAATACCTTGGCAAATCGATTCGCTCCCCATTCTCGTTCTCGGATCTCACATCTCAAGAGACAACTTCAGACTTTGAACCAAAGGTCTCAAAGCTACTCTGACTATTTATCAACTGCTAAAAGCTGTTCTGATCAACTTGCAGCAGTTGGGAAATCTGTTGATGAAGAAGATCTGATCTCATATATAGTGGGAGGTCTAAATCCTGCTTATCATCCATTTATCACCTCATTGAACTTTGCAATCCGTAACACTACTATCAGCTTTGATGATTTTCAAGCTGCATTGCTTAACTATGAACAACTCCTTGAGGCACAACCCAAACCTTTTGCAACAGACAGTAGTGTTGCCTTCTTCACACAGAAGCCAAAGCAGCAGCAACAGTAGTACCATAAGAAAAAAAAATTCCAACAGCAACAATACTCTCAACGACAGGTTAAGTCTCCCACCAATTCCTCCATACCATCTACTCAGCGAGGTTCCCAGTTTCCTACCAATCCTAAAATATTTTCTACAAATCGACAACCCTGTCAAATTTGTGGGAAAACAAGTCACCAGGCACTTTATTGTTACCAGAGGATGAATTTTTCCTACCAAGGTCGCCATCCTCCCTCCCAGCTAGCAGCATTAACAGCACAGACACATGCCTCTCAGGAGGTTGAACATCCATGGTATTTGGACAGTGGTGCCACCAACCACATCACAGCTGATCTTAACAACTTAACTCTTCAACATCAGCCATATAAAGGTGCAGATATGGTGAAAGTTTTGGTAATGGAGGAGGTTTGCATATCACCCATACTGGTTCTTCATTACTTTTGTCTCCAAACTCACAATTTCGCCTTAACAATATTTTAAGATGTCCTGATGCTTCCTCTAACTTATTATCAATTCAACACTTTTGCGAAGACAACAACTGTTATTTTATTCTCACTGCCTCCTCT